TCTATTTTATTATTGCTAACATTCTACTGATTCTATAAACCCTTTCTGTGAATTAGATTGCCTAAGAAACTATATTAATTTGCTGATGTGGTTGAGAAATACAATATAGTGGTTTTGTAAACCAAAACATATGAATTGGTGGTAACCCATAGAGAACACTTGTAATAAAATTTAAATAATTGGGTTAGACCCACAGTTCAAGGAGCAATATTCCACTTACTGAATGGGGTGCTCAGGTCTCTGCTCCCCCTTTCCATGGTGCCTGAAATCTGTTCCACAGAGCTGGTGGACTCTCCAGACCAACATGCAAGGTGGCTTAGTAGATGCAGCACTGAATTGGCAAAATTTACCTTCCCCCACATCTATACAGCATAGTTCCACGGAATGCATGACAAAGATGAAAGCAACAAGTTTTAGCAATTTAATGAATTCTAAGACAGATATATTTACAGACCAATGTGTACTGTCCCTACTGAAAATGCATGGCTGACAAAAGTACTGTAGGTTGCAGTTCTAGACATATGTACTTAGGAGCCAATTCCAGTGGGGTACTTCTGAGAATGTGTGCACATGATCATGCTTCAACACTGTTAGGTAGAATCAACACCACAAAGTTCAAGGTCAACAAAGTTCAACAATCTTATTTTTACATATTTGTTATGGTTTTCAACTGGAAGCATGCACCATACTTCAAACATTAGTACCTTCATGACAGACAGGATGCATAAATGCAAGCAAGCATGCTGAGATCAATTGAATGGACACTGGCAAATATATAAGATGGATAGATCAAACAATGCCATTACAATTCAATAAAAAGCTTGAGTTTAATGCCAACACTGAGTAACTCTGTTCCAAATAGATCCTGAAATCACAAGTCTCAAAAGAGCCACATTCTTTAAAAAGACCACTTAATATGCTTCACTGCAACTGTTCCCTTTTTAACTGAAGCCTAGTTCATTTGATTTGTGCATACCTTAAATCACTACTGTCATTCACAGAAAGTCCAAAAGTAGCTAGCAATAAAAAGGAAATATGGCAACTCTTGTTTTCCTTTATCAACACTGTGGTAAGAATCCAACATTGTGTAGATGCTTTTCTACAAATGTGACCTTTATACAACTTGAAACAATCCAAAATGCATTTCTTTTTAAAAGATACACTTGCATGTATATGAAACATACATACATACACTCATACTTCATGCAGATTATACTACTGACTTGGGAACTAATTGAAGCTAACAAACTTCAGAAGGTTTCCAGTTCTTTCAAACTACCAGCAGTTGGCTTGATGTTTTAGAAAAGGGGAAATGTGTTAGTATCTTATGTTAGCATAAACACAGTCAAGCATCAAAAATCAGGCCCCTAAAGAGTGAACAACACTGGACTGCATGTTTCTGATTCAGTGGATTTTAGCAACTGCCAACAAAAACTGAACATTCAGCCCTCAACAAGTATGTATCTATATACTTAAAGTAAACATGTATTGCTAAGCAACAAATATGTAGACACAAACAGATATAGTGTCCAGAATATGCTAAAAAAAACTAGAGAAGGATGTGCATATGCCCTGGAGTCCCTCTAGATTGAGTGAGATGCAAGCTATGACCAACTTTTTACACTAACATCTTTGCAAATTAAATGCAATGCACAACCTTGATCCAACCCATCACCTTTTCGTTCAACTATGAATGCCCAATAGTGTTGCCTCCTGTGCCTTTAAACAGCAATATGCCAGAATGAGGCTTAGTAAGTAAGCCTTTTCCCATCACTGACCTTAATTCTGGAAAAAGCTTTTAGATGAATGGTACTAGTCACCTGTGAAAGGCATAGCAGCAGGTCTAATGAGGGTGGCAACCCTCAAATTTTCATACTCCAGTATCCTTTAGTCCAAAGATGGACAATGCATGGCTGTTCAAATGTTTTGGCCTAACACAATCCATCAGCCCAACACAGCCAAAACATCTGGAAGGCCACTTAACAGAAAGCTCTTCGGCCCTCCAACTGATGGATTCTTAGCATCCTCAGCTGATGTGCAACTCCCTTCTGAAACTGTTACTTCAGTATGGGTTCTCATAATGAAAACTTGCTTTAAAATGTTACTGTAATAATTCAGCACAGGCTGCAACTTTCTTGACAGCTGGTATTTCTTTAACAAAAATGTCTCAAATGGATTATGTGCAACATTCTTTTAAGAATTAATTTCCTTTCAGTGTTAGATGCTGAGGCACTAAAAAGTGCAGGAATTTAAGTCTTGAGGGACATGCTAGCTCCAAAATGTTATTTTATAATATCCTACTGATGTTTTTACAAAGATAAAATCTTGGCCAAAATTTTATTTCTGACGAAAGGAAAGCAGTTCTACTCTAAGACGGCATGGCACAAACATTTGGTGTTACAGATTTAGATTTCAAAATAAAATTCAACATTTTCAATAGTTACTATTCAAAATAGTTACTTCAAAGTAGCCAGTTCTCCCAGAACTCACTGCATTCTGTAGAATTATGCAGCTGGAACTGATGTAAACAAAACACTACCATCCACCCAAATTACATAGTCTGTTTCCTGCATCCTGCCCCCACCCCACCTCAGTCTTTGGTTCCCATGTCTGTACAAAGTGCTCTTAAAATACATACAGTTCTGGGCATCTAGAGGGTTTCTAATAACTCCATTAAACAAAGGCCCATAAAAGGCCAAAAAAGCAAGCAGATCAAGCAGGGAGACTCTCTATAAAGGTGTGCACATTACACTATACATGTAATGTCAGGTATGTTGCACTTCTGCTTGCCATTATCCTTTATGTACTCAAGATCATAAAATTCTTTATTTTCACAGAACAGTTGAGTTGGAAGGTGTCAAGGTGGCCACTGGGTCCAACACCCAGCTGGCAGGATACCATGTCACAACATGTCAGCTGATTGTCCAGTTTTGCCTTGAAGGTCTCTAGTGTGGGAGAGCCAATGACCTCTCTTGACAACTGGTTCCGGTGTCATAATGCTAATTTTATTCCTATTCAAGATGTTGGTCACTGGTGCTTTCTTTCAAAATAATCCATTCCATTCTCTGATATCAGGTTTTCCTTCCAAAAAAATCAAAACTGAATGCTCAATCCTCATGGTATGCTCTAGTGGGGAGGAAGTTGCCTCTCAGGCAACTCCATTTGCTGTACTATTGCAAGTGTACGGTTATCTCCCTTTTGGTTGGGGGTGGTGCCATTTTGGCCACACAAGCTGCAGAACTATCAGAACGGGGTCTGCTATTACTATACATGATAAAATGACAAGAACATCCCAGTGCTGCCCAGTGTTGGATTTCTGTTGAAAGAAACTGCTGACCAGATGAAAATATTTATTTTTCTACTCAGTCAGGTCCAAATTAAAAGACATTCAGTACAGTAACATTGTACTGTTAATGTTCTGTCTCATTTCTGCTTTGGCTAGAGCTGATATACATTATTTAACATAATTCAATATTTGAAAGAAAACAAAAGTCTGTACCTCCTCAGAGATTGTGAGCAAAGCCATACTTTAGAGTTACTCTGTTTCAGTGCGCGCGCTCTCTCTCTCTCTGTGTGTGTGTATGTGTGTGAGAGAGAGAGAGAGAGAGAGAGAGAGCGAGCGCACAATGTGATACAGATGTGGATGGACTGAGGTGGTGAGGAGCATGGAATGCTTCTAGTAATGCAAGTTCTTATTTAAATTTTTACGAAGTATTTAAGTTACTTTTTTTGGGAACTGAAATCCAAGATATAACTGCTGATGTAGAATAACAAAGTTATGGATTGAAATGTCCGTTTTGGAATGAAAACCTTGCCAGATATAAACACTGGAAACAGTGGATAGCTGTCAAGTTTTATTTGAGACTTTGATTTGAAGGCAAGTAAATTCAAACCTCATGTTCTGAACAAACTAGTCACTCTTATCTCTGCAATCCAAGTTTTTGCCAAAAAGTCATCCTTTGTCATTTCCAATCACTGGAACCCCCCTCCCCACCAGAAAATTACCATTCACAAATGCAAGTTCTTTCCAAAGATAGAAGGCAGGTTCACATGATCACAGAAGGAAAATAAGCCACTATTATTTTTCCTCTCTGCATAGGCCAGTCATGAACAGCCTAATTAGCATGGTTATGCTCATCAGGTACAAGCTGACATGACATTCAAACCTAGCAAAGGTAGGTGGTTAGGATAGTTTACAAACCACCCTGAGATCTACTATTGTAAGCTACTCCAGCTAGTTCAGACATTGCTGGAACAGTCTTATTTAGGCAATCCCTGACAAAGATGCATGAGGAATGTTTATTTTCCCAATGTGACTGTGCAAACCTGCTCAGTAAATTTGGAAGCAACTTGCTTTTGTGAATAGTGAAAAAATTCTGAAGACTACAAGTGATAAAAGGATGACTTTCTCAGAAAAAAATCACATACAAAGAAGAAAGTGTTGAATTAGCTTATTTCCCCGCAATGGACATGCAAATTCTGTCACTATGATATAGAACTGATGTGCTTTCAAATAACAGGACCAGTGCCATAAATAGTTCAGCATAAGAAAAATCACACAACAGCAAGAAACAATTACAATATGGTACCCCACAACTATAATCAGTTTCCTTAATTGGAATGATTTATCAAGGAATTATCAATGGGCCAAGAGTACTGCTGGAGCAGCCTGCCCTTCAACTGACTTGGAGCTATTTAAGACCTTTGTAACTTGAGTGAAGACAGGAGCTGTCAAACCAAGGAGCTTGTGCCATCAGCTCTGGAGCTAAATATGTTCTGGTAGTGGGGTTTATTTGCTAGTAATGTTTGTTTCAAGACTGCAAAATCATAAACTGCCTTGGATGCCTTAGCAGGAAGGCAGTAAAGAAAAATCTTCAACCAGTCATACTATAATCTTAATATACTCTCTTAAAGTATCAAGAAAAAAAATAAATTACCTTTCCCAAATGCCTGGCCCACTGCAAGACAGCTTTGCATTTGCTTTTATTTGCATTACTCACTTGTAGCTGAATGGAATGAGAACCACTCTAAGGCCTTTTAGAGCACACTAATGCATGTTCAGGAAGAAAGAAGCCCTGCAGCCACAAGCATTCCTCAGCCAGTTGGAATTGTAGTATTTTTTCTTTCTTTTGTTGTTGTTTAGTTGCAAAGTCATCCTTGACCCATCATGACAAAATTCCTCTGGGCTCTCCTGTCTCCACCATTTTTTCTTTCTAAACATGGATAAAACTACAGCATTAAAAATAGGTGAACTGCTATCCCAGAACTGTCATGCCTATTTCCAACCAAAAACCTCCTGTTTACCTTCCCTCTCCCTGCTGTCAACCTACTATGAATGATTCAATACCATGTATGTGGACCACAGCTCATATGAGACTAAACGTTGGAATATTGATTGTCTCCCAAGAGACACAGAATTGAAAATGCATGTATGTGAAATATTTCGAATTAAGTGCACACTGAGCCTGCCATATTTCTCTTCTAAGCAGGTCATGGAGGTACTCAAACACAAGCTCACCAACAGTGAAAATATCTGAGTTTTTAATATGCCTCATAGCACAAAAGTGCAAAAGCAACAAGAGGAAGAGAAGATTCCAGGTCAGACAACTTCTTATTCTCCTGCCAAGGGGGAGAATTACCACAGATGAGCATCATTACAATGCATCACTCGACATTTTAGAAACATAACACCTAGCTGCAGGAAACTTGCCATTTGTCAGATGAGCTGAGTGACTCCCTTGATCCCAGCAGGAATCTGATTTAGGAAGTCTTCTTTGAATTTTTTTAGTATGCAAATAGGCATTTATCTTTGGTTATAGTAGAAGAACAGCCTGCAACTTTCCCCCACCACCTTTAAAAAGTATTGCAGTGCCAGAACACTCAAGACACATAAGCATATGTCTTTTAAAACAACATACAGTACTGCAATATGCATTGTCCCCATAACAGAGCAACTCCTTTCTTATCTTCCCTTCCACAAGAAGCAGCCATCTTTCAAATCCTCCCAGGACTTCTTGACCCCTTCCAACTCTACTATTCTATACTTCTATGAAACAAGAAGACCGAACCACAAACATGGACAGAGAAGGATGGAGTTTAGAAAAGACTAGCACTACTGCTTGAAAAGAAGCAGCAAGATTATATAATTAATTTCTTCCCGCCTTCCTTCCAGGTGAAAAAGTGAAATGATCTGGCTTATAAAGCTATAACTGGCAAAGCTGACTCTAAGCACTTTCTTGTGACAGAGACAGACCTTTAAGTGTTATTGGGCTGTTATTGGAAAAAATACAATTCTCTCAGCATGTTGCTAGATCAAGTCCAGCAATTTCGTCACATTTGGGGTTTATATCAGAAAATGGAGGACACTGTATACTTCTGAATCTTTTATTAACTATCAAGCAATGATATTAATGACAGCTGGGTAGAGCAATCCTACTGGGAGCAGAAAAATCTATGGCAAAGTTTCTAGCACCTCCTAAGTCCTGCCAACCTGTGCCAACCAGGAACAAGGAGTGGGTAATTTACTTTTTTCCTATGTGAACAGAATTACTCTTTGTTTCCCTTCTGTTGACATTAATGGTAAGCAAATTGCTGGCTCTTATTTTGGGTATGCTGGAGGTTTGAGGGTGCATAGCAAACTCCAGAATGCCTCATTCCAGACCAGAGTTAGAATTTTCCAGGAGACCTCCTTCTCTGCCAATGGATACAGTGGCTCACTGTATCCTATGGCCTTCCAGCTACTCTCCCCAAAAGCATGGAAACGTTCCTTAAAATTGCATCATTATGATCATTACAAATAACATTATTAATTAGGATTTCAGCTGTTATTTTAAAAAGCACTGAAATAAGTGCACCAGGAGATTGAGTAGCTTTTAAAAAATAATGGCTTTCAATCCAAAGTACAATTTGTGATGCTGTGTTTCAAAGTTCTTGTGAAACTATAATTTCTATTTTCATATCAACAAGTTATTCTAGTATTAATACAAATGGTAATATGCATCTGTATCTCATATTCGAAAAGTTTTTCAAATGCAGCAATATTTCATGTATGAAATAGAGTTTAATGGAGTATTCCACTTTTTTTTCTTTGGAATTATTCAAAAACTCATACTTTGCTGAGATGTGCTTCTTTCCATATCATTTGAAACTCTGGAGCTTTATGCTAGTTGAACAAAGTCCTCACTGCATAGGCAAAATGGGCTGGAAACCATTTCCAACTAAAGTGCCAGCATCTGTGCTGAAGAAATCAACTGGTACTGCCAATCTCATACTTAATGACTGAATAACTATTTCAGAATCTTAGATCCCACCATCAAATTTCGCTGCATTCCAGAGTCAAGGCTTTTGAGATATCTCCAGCTGAGCTGATATAATCAAAATGGGTTCCTTCAAATCAAATTTGATAAATTTAACCATGTAATTCTGTAATCACCAAGGGCTGAATCTGGATTCATGCACAATTTGAGGGAGGAAGCTCTATGCTTAATTCAATCACAGGGTGATTTGAAGGACAATGCTTAGTAAAAGCGTGGTGATAGATATTATTTTCGGTGCCAGGTAAAACATTTTTCTTTGGCCAACATTTTAATAGTTAATTTTATTTGTTTATACTGTATACTCATAGTGTTCTATTGCTACTTACCTTCAGACTAATCTGAGTTGTTGTGGGCCCATTCCTGTTTTTACTGAAATACTATTTATGTTTGTTTTTATCATCACTGTTATTGTATATTGTGATTATTGTATATTTTTAACTTTCTGCACTACCCAAACAGCTTGCCCTGGTTAATGAACAGTAAATAAATAAATAGCCATAGGATTAGCTGGAGAAGGCTAGACTGTAGGTCTTCAGAATGCTCCTCTCACTTGTATGCATCTGTTACTCCATTATACATTCTATTACGGCTTCAATCTTTCATTTATGTATCCTTTTGGGGTACATTGGCTTGCACTGTTCTTCACTTACTAACTGAAAGTTCTGTGGTATAGAGAGACACATGTATTTGCCTACATGTACACTCAGACAGCACACAAACCACATTGGACAGAATCCAAGCAGCTGCCCTGATCCATAGAAGAGGCTTGCACCAGCCCAGTAGATTTCTTTTCTCTTTGAACAGCTGATCCCCCATGGTGAAGCACAAACTACTATAAAAATCTCTGCTCAACTCCAGGAGCAGCTTGCTCTGTAGCTAGGGGACAGGGTGCATTGCAAATGAACGAGTATAAGTTCCCTTGGGCCCCCAAAACTAATTTTACATGTCTCTGGATCCTAGCCAGAAATTTCAGTAAATACTTCACACTTATTTCCCAAATTCCCATAATCAATTAATGGCAAAAGAGTAAGTAAAGTTTTTTTTCCAGCTTTAGAAAGTAAATTAATTTCAGCTTCAGAATTATCTAGTGTCATTTTGCCACTTAATTATCTTCATTACTTTTACCCACCTATGTAGACATTTAAGATTCTATTGGCAAAGACTGTTTTTAAAACTTTGACCATATCTGAAATAAGTTTTCCAACAGTGATTAGCATCTATTTATAAAGCGAATGGAAAAATGTCACCACAGAAACAGCATCTACTTTAGAAAAACGAGTACAAGATGCTGCCTTACATTTAGATGCCTATTTCTTCACACACTGTAATTATGAAAAACCAAAATTGATTTCTAAATAGTTCAAGATGAAACTGGCACTAATCTCTAATTATGTTTTTCAACTCAACAGTGCCTGTACATAGAATGCTATTCCTTTCCATGAAATATTTCAGACAGCAATTCCTTACTGGTATAAATATCCTAGGGAAATCATTCCAAGATAAGCATTAAAATGTATTTTAGCAAAGTTTGCAATAATTTTTTTCAATAATGTGCAAGCTATTTTCAACCATAAAAATTTACCTGCAAACCTAGCAACTTGTATTCAAGAGATTATACGAGACAGCCATTCTCGAACTGAGAACGGTCACACATCAACCAAGATTGTGATTGATAAAGATGGAAGTATCAGGGGGTTCAGACAAGCCCACACATTCCTGGTTTGCTCTTAACCTGCTATTTACACTGTTTGACTTTTACAAGTAGGTTTTGAATCACTTTTTCTCACTGTATATATTCTTCATGTTTTCCTATTTATTTGGTCCTACCCAATATGGAGTACCTAGTCGTGTTATTCCAAGCACTCAAATATTGCTAGTGGAATTCCTCTGAATCTCTGTTATATAAGCTCCTGTGTATTATGCTTGCACAAGCAGCAGCACAATCAGTGTACTGACATGTATTTTATTTTAATTTGTTTTACTTTTTATACACCTCCCCATTCCTGGTTTATAAGAAACTAAAACCACAAAGGTAACATTAGTTGGGTTCCCTCTTGTAAAAATCTATCTTTTAAAAATCCAATTTCAGAGTATCACTACTCTGATAAAAATCCAATTTCACTATCATATACCTATACCCTACTATATGGTCTTTTTTGTCTTAACTCTTCTGCCTTGTTTTGCCCACATCCACCACTCTGAAACACAGAATCACAATCTCATCTTACCTGTTTCTATATACATTTAACTTTAATCAGAAAACTTTAAGTTCAGAATGTTCAAGAAGCAAATACTCTTAGGTTGGCCAAAGTCATTTTCATGAGATGTGATTAATGTCCAGGTTTGATTGGTAGTAAACTTCATTTTTATAAGACTTTAAGTGTAGGTTAGCATGTTTCTGACAAGGTTTCATTGTAACTAAGCTGTTTTTTTTTAAGTTAGAGAGAAAATTAGCACTATATATTGGGGGGAGGGAATAAAACTAATTATTAAAATGGATTGTTTGGATCGACTTTCTTCGAAAGATTTTTATCCATCCTATGATGGCAGAGTGACTTCTTCAGTGAGGAGCCTTCTTCACTCATGTAGGCTCCCCATGGGTGTTAGAACCCATTAGAGGTTCCTGACCGGAGGCAGAGCCAACACGTAGAGCCAGTTGCTATCTGCAGTGATAGAGCACACAACACATGGAAGAATGTAGAACTGGGCAGTAGGATATGGCAGGTTACAGGTTTTTATTTATTTATTTATTAAAACATTTTTTAATAAATTAGGTTAATAAATTAGGTTTTTTTAATAAATTAGGTTAATAAATTAGGTTTTTTTAATAAATTAGGTTCATCCTAATTATGTGGCCAGTTACTTTCTAAATACAGATAAAAACTAATCACACTCTTAAAAGTGGGAAATGACCTTATGTTATCGTATTAATTGGAGATGCCAATAACTAAACCCGAGGTCTTCTGAATGTAAAGTATGTGCTCTACCATCGAAATATGGTTCTTCCCCATTTCAGGTTACAAAAGCAATAAAACCACATGAACAATTGTGCAAGTCTTGCAATTGTGCAAGTCTTGCAATTGTGCAATACAATTAGCACCTTACTAAGAAGACCCATTCAGAAGGACATGTCCATTTGCCTACAGTTTTCGTACAAACTCCAATAGCACAAGCTCTCACCATGCCACTGCATGAACATGAAGAGCATTTAAGGTAAGTCTAACCTAAATCTATGACATGAGATTCTCTAAATGCTGGCAATCAAGAACATGTAATAGCTTTATATATTTCATTTGTCATTGATTTTACCTTAAAGACATAAAAAAGAAAGAACTCTAATATTAAAACATATTTTATGTTCTTATAAAATCATATTAAATAGTATGTTCTACAACAGGGGTCCCCAACCCCTGGCTGCCAACCAGCACTGGTCCATGGCTTGTTGGGACCCAGGCTGCACAGCAGGTGAGCGAGTGAAGCTTCATCCGTGGCCGTAACCTCCACAATTCTCCTCCTTTTGCTTGTGGGCTGCTGTGGCGCCAAGACCCAAGAGAAGGAGGCAGGCTGTCAGGAGTGCTCTGACCAACCAAGTCCAATCTTTTTCGAACAGGTGAAAGCTCCTCTGACAGATGCCTCATTTCTCCAACAATGTGAGCTGCTCTCGACTAACACTATCCAATAGCACGTGTGGACTGTGGCTCAGGCACGGGACAGGCACTCCAATAAAAAAGGTGGAATGACTGAGCCTTAGACCAATGGGAGCAGGTGGACTGAGGTGAGGGAGCAGGGTGGGCTTATTCATTTTTCCCAGTTTTTCCTTTTCGAACCCTACCGTAAACTACACATGCAAGGGATCTAGGTTGCATGATTCTTATCAGAATATAATGTCTGATGATCTGAGGTGGAGCTGAAGCGGTGAGTTGTATAATTATTTCATTATATATTCCAGTGTAATAATAATAGAAATAAAATGCACAATAAATGTAATGCACTTGAAACATCCCAAAACCACCACCACCCCCAGTCTGTGGAAAAATTGTCTTCCACGAAACCAGTCCCTGGTGCCAAAAAGGTTGGGAAATGCTTTTCTACAAAACAGACTTTACACATTTCCTTAAAGGAAAACACTGTAAGCAGGAAATTGCATCTTCATCATAAAGTGAAATATAAGTATATGAATAATACTAAACTACAGTAAGAATTTAGAATCTTGCAGCCAGCATTTAGAAGCATTTTATGCATTTTACAGGGTAATACTATGGCTGCTAGATAGTCTCTCATTCCAACATTAGACATGGGAAAACAAGTTCACAGTATACATCTCACACCCACACTGAAGACCACAGTTAGACAGCTTAAATCGGCTATCCAGTTATTTTGCAGAATGTGAGGAACACGGGCAGTTAACAAATTTAAAAAGACAGACAGACAGACACACACACACTAATTGAAAAGAACAAAACCGTAATAGCAATTGCTATTATTCAGAATTGAAGCACAGCAGCAGTACAGGATAAAATGAGATATATAAAAACAAAGTTAAAAAGTTAAACTGTTAAAATGTTGGGAAAATAAAAAGGTCTTTACCTGGTACAGAAATGAATACAAAGTAGGTGCCAGGCAAACCCCTTTGGAGAGTTCATTCCAAAACTGGGATGCCACAACGGAAAAGGCCTTCCTGCCTCATTTCCTTTCACAGGGGCTCTCAGAGAAGGACTCTGGACATGACTTCAGCATCCAGGTAGGTACATATGGATGGAAGCAATCCTTCAGATAACCTGGCCCTAAGGTGTTTAGGACTTTGAATGTTAGTACCACTACTCTGAACCAAGTCTGGACTTCAACTGAACTGGAAGAGTACTGGCATAATGTGTTCTAGTGAGCCAGTCCCCAATAACAGTCTTACTGCCTTGTTTTGGATCAGCTGAAGTTTCTGGACCATTACCAAAGGACATTACCGTGTATACAGCACTACAGTACCAGAGTTACCAGAGCATGGATAGCTGTAGCTTGGCTCTCTCTGTTCAAATAGGGTCATAGTTGCTATATCAGTTTAAGAGTAGTAGCTGCAGTAATCTCTAAAGCACAATTTTAACTATCCAAGAATGTGTACAACTCATTGTGCTAGCTATAAATATGAAACTTTAATCATAAATTTTAGTTTGGGATTACAATACTTGACAGAGTGCATCTCCCAACTGCAGTCTCCTTTTCACCATGCTCAGCATTCAGGGCCTTCCACTGAGTGTCAAGCTTGAGGAAGGCTTGGAGGGAAGCAACAAAGTGGCTTTTATTAGCAGTGCACCCTCATCTATGGAATGACCTCCCAACTCAGGCCTGCCTGGTACTGGCCTTGTTTTCATCATCAGGTTAAATCAGCACTTTACGCCAAAACTTTTAAAGACATACATTCAAAAGAGTTAAGGGGATTACCCATCCTAGGTGTTTTACAGGGTTATATTTTTTACCATATATTGTTTTAATGGTTTCCACTTTTGTTTTTATATTTTATATTTCCTGTAATGTTTAAATTATACAAGGGGAGACCCCCACAAAACCCCAGGAATTATCTTCTGGAAGGTGGGCTCCTTGTAGTAAAGGCTTCCCCTGCTAGGTGAGTGTTATAGGAACCCATATGCATCAGTGTACCTAGCTGGGTTGTTGTGAGAGGCTACATTTGGCTTCACTGAGGTTTTTTGGAGACTCTTTCAACACATTTGTCTATTTTGTGATTTACCTGAACAACACGCAGTGGTGAACTTTTGTTCAGCTGAATGTTCAGCTGTTTTTGACCAAAAATGGCATGACCCTTGTGCCCCAACCTTCCCCTGATCTCACTCCATGCAACTTTTTTTTGTTTTCCCAGAAGAAAACTCCTCAAAGGGAAACATTTGCCAATGTGGAAGAGGTGAAACAAAAAAGGCAGAAGCACAAAATGGCATCAAAATTGATGAGTTCAAAACCTGTTTTGAGCAGTGGAAAAACTGTCTCAATAGGTATATTGCATCAAATGGAGAGTACTTTGAAGGTGACTGAACGTGACACAATTTTTAATAAATAAATTCCCTTTTGGGGGGCGTTCCCCCCCCCCATATTCCTGCAATGTACTATAGATTTTGCAAACTGCAGCAGCCAGACTAACAACTGGGAACAGAAGGTTTCAACACTTAAGTCCAGTTCTGGTCCACTTTCAATGCTTCAAGGTTCTGCTTTTAACCTATAAAACCATGTAGACCTTTAGACTGCAATACTTGGCAAAACACTTCTAACCTTACAATACTTAAGGTCACAATCTGCCCTTTACACTACCTACATGCTTAATGCCTTCAGAAGGCAATAACAAGGTGGAGAGGCTTCTCAGTGGCAGCCCTCCAACTGTGGAATTATCTCCCTGCAGAGGCTCATTGGTTCCAACTTTATCATCCTTCAAGTACCCCATTAAGGTAACTCTTTGCAATGAAGACCAGAAGGTATTTAGGGCTTATATAATGGCTTGATGGGGACACTCATATGCTTTTGCCCGGTCTACTAAATCTATTGCGAATTTTTCTTGTAGTTTGTCTACATGGATTTTAAATTTGGTAGTGTGGAAATCCTTTTATGATTATGTTGCTGTATTATGTCTTGTTTCTAGGAACCATGATGAACTTTGGCTATTCAACAGTGTATATGAAAATAAATGGATGAATAAATAAGTAAATAATGCTATTTAACCATTACTCCATTGAATATCTCATAAGCCTCCAAGAGTGTACAAATAGGCATCCCCTTCCAACTGCCCGAAGCTTTTTTATTTTTAAGAAGATGCTATTATAAGCTTGAGCTGCACAGGGAAAGACGTAGGTCCTGTAGTCCTCCCACTCCAAGTGAGTTGAGAATATTGGTTCTGTCAACTATATTCACACATACTATCCAGATCTTCTGCCAAGGAGCACAAAATGGCATTCCCACGTGACAGCCCCACGAAGATATAAGTGAGATAGCACTGGTGACAAGGCCAACTGGCGCATATCCCCCTTGAGCAAGGATTTGAACAGGGTTGTTCCCATGTCCACATCCACTACTCTACCCACACTGCCACAAAGGCAAGCACCAAAACCTAAAAGGCACACCGCGACGCCAAGGCGTTAGATACCAAAGGAGAGGGGAGCGAGTACTAGGAGCTCGCCGACCCTGTTCTGCGCTAGGGAGATGGAATATGCCTTTAAAGCCCAGGTGCTCACCCGCCCTGGTGCCGCACCCGACCGCCCACGGCCCATCCTGGCCCTCGCACTGCTACCTACGCCGGCTACCGTCTCCTCACCTGCAGCGAGGCCCCCGAAGCGACGGCGGGAGGAGGCGGCCTCAGCCTCCTCAACCCCGCACCGCGCTTCCTTCACACCGCGCCAACCGTCAGCGGCCACAGGCGCTGCAGCCCCGCCTCAGGAGCCAAGGCGCCCCTTCAGCATGCCCGAGCCTCGCAGGTGCAGGAGCAAAGCCCACGCCGCCGCCATGTTCCCGCCTGCGCCACCTTTGCTCTTCGACCTCTGTGACTTCCGATCCTCCGCGGCCCGCGCTGCGGTTGCCATGGAGATTTCCTCCCCCCCTCCCAACTCGGGTGAGCTTTTCTTAAAGACACACGCCGCTTTTAAGGCATTCGTTAGGGGCAAGAGCCAATTCTCCTCCTTCCTTGGTCTGGTTAAGACTCGCTGCACTCCCTCACACATGCACAGAGGGGGCGAGAGGCATGGCTTTATTCTGAAGTAAAAACTAATGGCGTCAAACGGCTGACTGCAACTTGCCAGGAAACCGGATTGTATTCATTTAGGACTCAGAGACCACGAATTTTTCTCCCACGAAGCTATTATTAGTAGTATTACACTGCATTTATACCCTGCCTTTTTTCCTTTTGTGAGGACTGCAAGGTGGCTTGCATAGCTCCATTTTATCCTCACAACAACAACCCCGTGAGGTATGTAGGCTGAGACTGAATGACTGGCCCAAAGTCACCCCGTAGCAATAGTGGCATGCCTATGTCTAAGTTAGACCTTGACACCTGCCAAACATCCAAGGACAACTAAAGCAGCATGCATTAATGACAAACACTTAGGATTGTTGAGGTCCCTGTCATGTGTGGTTACTAATTTTTAAAAAAATCAGTTCCAGCTTATAATAAGACTACCTGCTTCGCTTCAGCAAGGTTGTTACATCGTGCACTTTCAGATCATGTGACTTAGATATTCATGTTTTCTGTTTCAGGTATCGCATCTTTCTAGAAAGGGAAGATGCTGGTAGTTCTTAGTGGTGCTGAGGGTCAGATTTTCCGCATTCTTTTGCCATTTCTCTGTCATAGCTTTGCCATCCCCTTCTCCACATAGATCCAATTTATGCACTGATCATTCTGTACCAGCACAGTTCCAGTGTTCTGAGATGTCAAATCAGTGCAATGCCTTAGATGAAACTCCACTTGAGCATGATCCCTTTTTTAAACTTGCATAGGCAACCATAAAATTTGTTTATCAGCTGCATAGGTTATTTTGAGTGCAGAATGAGCATTTCCCTGTGGAAGAAATCAGAATTGAAAACATCACACATAAATGTTTGCTTTAATTTTGCAAAGAACATGGCCACCATGAAAGGAGTGGTGCTACATTGCCTGACTGATGAAAAGAATGCTTTAACTGGGCCTTTTCCATTCCTGCCAACTATGAATCATGTTGACTAGCATGTAACCAGAAAGGAACAAAACTAATTATTCTTCTTATTACGTTGCATTCATATCCTGTTTTTTTCCCTCTTGCAAGAAACTCAAGGCAACTTTCACAGTCCTTTGCACTCCATTTTATCCTCATAACAACAACTCTGTGACAGAGGTTAAACAGAGAGTGACTGGCCCAATATCATCCAGTAAGTCTCATGGGCAAGTGCAGATTAGATCTTGGATCTTCCAGCTCTCCAGTCCAAGCCCTATGTCACAGTTCAGGCTTCAACATACAGCCTTCATACTTCTAAAAAAGAACAGTAATCTGATACTTTGCTGCCTTTGCTGGGATTCATCAGTAGTTCTTACAGCAACACAATCAAAGAAGCGTACCTGAGTTGAGTCCCTATTCCCTTAGCATCTGTTTTTAATGCTGTTCAATTCATTTTCCTGCCCTTCCCCTGCATACCTGCCATTTCTAATCTGAAAGCTTGAGCAAAGCACTAGGCTCAAATGGCTCCTAGCCTCTGTTCTCTTCATTACCACCTGGCTTTCTCATTGGATCTGCTGCATAGCAAACGGTGCCTTTTGGTGCTGGCTTTTCACTAGACTGTAGCATAGGGGTAATCCTATACCATCCCTGGAGGACACATGCTTCCTTCTTAATAGCATCTCCAGCTTAGATCAGTGGAGCTGCAAGGGTGGTCAATTTTGACTGGGGAAATAGTCACACTCCGGGTTGTTTCCTCAAATGCACATTCCTTCCTGCCTAGGGAGCAGATCATAATATTGGGGTATTAAACTCCCCCACATGAAGACCGGATTTGTGCTTCTGGTTTCAATAGTCACTTCTAAGGGCAGGGGCCTACCTGCAATAGCCTGTGGAGTCATTTAACCAAAGGCACAGCATATGTCTATACCATGCTGTGCTGTTTTCCACAGGGAAGAGAGGCTTGTCTCCAGATTCCAACATTAGAAACAACTGCTGGGATGAAGATTAAGAAGCATTGCATAGAAATCTCCTCCTATAACTAATGAACATTTTTTATCCCGAGAAGGACAGTTCCATGGTCTGTTTTGGGGTAAGTTTTGCTGTTGTGGAACTGAATTTTGTGAATGTTTGAAAAACAGTTACATCGGCAGAGAAGTGAATAGTTTTGAAACATGAATGAAATCTAGTTTGGGAAGTTTCAAATTGTTGTTTGGTCATTTGTCTGAGTTATATATGCCCCACCTTTCACCCAGCTTTCCAAAGGCCCTTGTGAGGAAGGGGCAACATAAGCAATAACGTTTTTTAAAGGGGTGGGAGCCTGGGGAAATGTAAAATGGAACAGCATTAACTCCATAGAAAACAGCAGAAACAGCAGACATCGGTATAAAATGTCTCTTTACAAGTAAAATACCCTTTAAAAGGGTGGGAAAGAGCATGTCATCTGTTAGAACTTCAGATTTTGGGGGCTTCAGCTCCCAGCATTTCTGACTGTTGGCCATGCTGGCAGGGACTTATGGGAGCTGAAATCCAAACATCAAGAGAGGTATCTGAGACTACTATACCTGCTTTTATGGTTTCCCCAAATCTGGTACCTGAAGCAGGTTGCCTCTGCCTGTCTAATGCTTGGTCCTGGCATAAGCACACCATCTCTTTATAACTGCAGATTACAGACACTGTATTTCTGGAAATTGTGAACATGGTGGCTTTTAAATAAATGTGCATGAGTTCATTTAAGCACCTACCTGCATACACTCTAATCTGATTATTATTATTTTGGGATTATTACTTTATACTAAAATGACTAAGACATGCCATTTTGATAGAAACCACATGTTTATTCAGAAACTATATGTGCACCATTTAAACGTCTGTGCTTAAAAAAAAAGATGGAAAGATCAATTTTTATAGCCAAAGACAACAGTTAGGGTAAGAAAAGAATGTTCAGTATTCAGCAAAAGGAAGGATATGATAGACTGGGAATTTATGTGCAGTTCTTAAGGCTTTGTTAGACTAACGCTAAGGACGCTCGCTTCATCCCACAAAGTTTCATTAAGAATGCAGGGGGAAATTATAGTACATGAGATCCATCTTTTGGGGGATTTTTATTGTGGAAAGGCAGGGTAGCAAATGTTTAAAGAAATAAACATGCATTTAAAACTAAATATGGGATTATTATTACTGTTAGATATTCTAGTTTCAAATACATGGAGGTCAGGAGAGGGATTTTGAGTTACATCAGTAGCAGGTTTCATGGCATAGCTGTGTCAGTCTGTCAGAGCAAAACAACAAGCGGTCTTGTCACACTCTGCGGATTTGTGGCACAAATAATACACTACTTTTAGAGAGAATCTTATGCTCTAAAGATGACCACTGGCTTGACAAGGCTTTCGTTGCTCAGCCAGCAATGGTCAAAAGCACAGCATCAGATACAGAAGTAACATTTTCTGTAGCAACACTGAGAGCATCTCTGGAAGCTCACAAGCAGAGGGGACAGTAGCTTCAATGACAGTGGGACCAAGTACCCACTCTGGGTTTCAGTCTGAATTTAAGGGACTGTCCATGGTTCTGAACCCTCATATTCTGCCCGGAATAGCTATACTTCCTCACTGACATGGGAGCCACCAGCCACTGCAATGGCAAGGACACTCGCAACAATGCCCTCCTCAGCATGAAGAGAAGGTACCCAAATCCATCTATGACAAACATCCCCATTCCACAACCACGCCATACTTCCCAGTATATCCTCTGCACACAAATGAAAGATCAGGAATTGCTGCTAGTGCCTGCTTTGGGGTAGCAGGCAAGCATAGCATAGGAAAGAGCAGAAGATGCAGGATTTTCCCCAGGCAAGGGTTCAAATAGAGTTCAAATATAGACAGACAGACTGCAAGCAGCCACCATTTTGTTGGGCACAAAGAGAGAAAAGGAGTTCCACTGAAGCTGCAGCATCCAGCTGGACCCAGCATTGTCAGGCCCTGTCAGGACTAGAGGAGTAGGATGCCCTCTGCTCCATTGTCAGATCCACAACATCTTCCAGACAGTAAAGTACTCTCAGGCTGTGGACAGTAACAACCTGCCCAGGCTGGCCACTGGGCCCCCCAAGCAAGAAGAGCTATCAGGTGCATTCTAGGCCATGCATTCTATTTTATGGATGACTATCCTTTGTTTGAAGAGCTCTAAGCAGACTTGTCCTCTGTGCTGAAGGAATTGTCTATTTGAAGGAGTGTCCAAGGTGGCTTAAAGATGATGAACCATCATTACAAGGGGTCGGGCCTTGAAGCAGTCCATCAGCAGCACCTGGGCAGCAGACTGAGCATGGCACACAGGACGGCTGGGCACAGCCTGCCTTAATAGGGTGAGATATACTCTGCTTCTATTGAAATTATGATAATGATGTCTACATTTGCATCAATACATATACATCAGCATGAGCACGTTTCATGCCCATCACACTGTCTCCCTTTTTCCTCTTTCTGGCTCATGCATGTCTTCTATTTTGGCAACAAGCCTATAATGTGTAACATCTCCTAGAACAGTGATGGCGAACCTTTTAGAGACCGAGTGCCCAAACTGCAACCCAAAACCCACTTATTTATCGCAAAGTGCCAACACTGCAATAAAACCTGAATACTGAGGTTTTAGTTTAGAAAAAAAAACAAACAAAAAACTACTCCTTTCCGAGCATGCACATGGCCCCTATGTGTACTGTTATCCAGTGCTTGGCTGCTGGGCGATGCTGGGGCGACCTGGCCCGCTGCGGCACTAATGCCATAGGTTCGCCACCACTGTCCTAGAGGCTTCTGCTAGCCTTGGTGGGATGGAGAGGAGAAAGGCTGCAATGAGGGCAAGGGGAAGGCGGGTTTGCTTTTTCCAGCTGAGTTGCCATAAATCTGGATCTACCAGAAAGTAATCGCTGCTAGAAGAACTTCACTTACAGAGCATGCCTGCATGTTTAGACAAAGTAAAGCCCTGCAGCTCTCAACACACTTCAGTCATTCCTGGGAGCTAAGGCATGCTAGGAGTTATAAAACTTTTTCTGTCTGAACTTACATATGATTGCATGCCTATTCACATTAATTAATAGGTTCCACCCTATTCCAGGGAGAAAGCAGTTTTCCCACATTTTGGCACTCATTACTTAGCCATTGCATCAACCCATGGGCCAAGATCCAGCTTAAACTTTAGGAGAGCTGCTGCTCTGTTTGTCATATAGTTGAGCATCATGAGGTAGACAAATTTGTATTCTGAAGAAGGTAATTAAGAATTTCAAGGAACAACAGACTCATGTTAATGTCTCTTATTTCAACATTAATGACCCCTTTTTATCTTTGGCTAAAAATAATCTGCCCTGAGTTGAAAATGGCCAAGTGAGTATGTGGCAGAAAAAGGGAATGTTGTTGGGTTTCTAAGAGAGAAATAAGATAAACAGAATTTATTTTAAAAAGAGGGAGAATGTAAAATGGGTTGACCTTGTCCTTTTAAGTTGAGCCTCATGCATTCCATTGTTTTGTAGGCTTAGCTCTTTTGTTCCAAGACAGGTCTTTTGTCTTTGTTCAACCATCTGCTTATAGAGATTGGAAATGAGCAAATAGGGAAGAAACTGTGTTTTCTTCTTACATGATGCAACAAGATGTTATTCTTCCTGGCCACATGTACAATGAATTTACATTAGAAGCATGCCAGAAATGCCTCAAGGAAACATTACCCTTAGTTGAATACTGGATTCCCCCTCCCCCTCTTTTTGAAACACTTCCAAATAATGGGAGTGAATGCTATTTTTCTTAAAACAACACTGGGACAGATGGCTGTATTTTGTTGAAGTGCAACATCAAAGCTAGACTTGTTATATAGTAGATTTTTTAAAAAGTTACTGAGAAGTAGTAGAGAAACAGGGAAAAAGTTATAAATTGTGTCCACAAAAACATTTTCTTCAGGTAGTCTCTTCAAGTCAGTGTCTCTTCACCATTACTGATTATTGAATTATTGAACTCATAGATATCTGTGAACAGTTGGTATGTGTAACCAGTGGAAAAAGGATTTCATAATTCATTAGATGGGTGTGAATAGAGTTCATACACTTCAGTGAAGCAGAAGAACTAGAATGGAGTATTCTTCAGCTATTGGGTCTGGAACCACAACACACAATTGGCTGTTGCAGGGAAGTGTGCTAGGCCTCCACAAAATTATCCTAAGAAACAAAGCATGTCTCCATTAGAAGCAAGTTCTGCTGAAATTAATGATGCATAGTTTCAAGTTGTATATTTAGGATCAAGGTACAAACATGGAAGTCTACAAAGCCCAGTGTTTTGTGTCTGGACTGTGCAAAACAGACCAACAACATTCCGGCTTTGACAACAATCCAACCTTATTCAACCTTCTAGCACTTACTTTAACTACAGGCTAGAGCAAACTTTGCCTTCCACCCTGTTTGCCTGTAAGAATGCACTTCTGGATTATTCTATCATTATGTCTAGCAAATGAATGTTAGTATGGATAGCAAGGGTAAGTAGATGTTACAATATGAAACTATTTCAGCCGCAGTGTTCAGATCAAACATCAATAGTTCAATTTCTGAGTGGCCTCTAGAGTAGCCATTGTGTGTGTTTGAAAGGAAACAAGAGGAGACAAGTGCAAAACACATTTCCCTTCTTGGCCCTCATCTTTCCTGGAGCAGCTTATTCAAGCAGATGCCAAAATAAATTTGTCTCCAATTGTGCACAATACAAATCTAGCTTTATCTGGTCAATCTCACTTTGACATCCTGAATTGTTTTCAGACCTAGATCTGTTCTAGCTCATCTTGAAGCATGAGCCAACCCTGCTTCCTTCCTAGCCAAATCCAGCACTGGAGGTTTCCTGCAACTTCAAGTTGGCTGCTGAAACAGCATGTGGCTTTTTAAATATCCTGCAGTCCAAACCAAAACCAGACATCATGGTGCATTGCAAGTAACAAACAAGGAGCTGTGTTAGCAGTGATAGAGGATGTGACCGTTAATTCAGGGAGTGAATAATGAGCTATTAATCATCAAGGAGGATTCAGATTGTCTTATGACAGTCTCAGGCTGCCCCTTTGCCTTGAGTTGGTCCAAGAAGTCTTGCACATGAATATGTTTCCCACTTGCCTGTCTCCCAACAATGTAAGAAAAGCCTTGCTGGAGTGGGCCGAGTATCTAGCATTCTAGCTGTAAGAGCAACTAACCAGATGTCTCTGAAAAGCACATTAGCAAGGCTTGGAGTCAACAACCTTCCTCTGCAGTTTTCCCCAGCATCTGACTCTTGGAGAAATGCCATCCGCTGCGGAGGCTCCAACTAGCCATCATGGTCAACAGCCACTCCCAAATGTTATGCCAGACTCCTGGCTTGAGCACTGGATTGATGAAAAGTCTGGCGTGAGTGGTCTCTGTCATCTGTGACACCTGGCTATGGAACTTCTTGCCCAGGGAGGCTCACCTGGCATCCATTACATTAACCTTTAGGTATGAGGTTCAGACGTTCTTCTTCTTTCAGACATGTCAATGGTTCATATTTCAAGTATTTAAAGGATGCTCCAGTTTAAACACAGGAAATCAAGTGTTCACAGATGCTCTATCTAATATTTAAAGATGTTATTTGTTTAACATTTTAACCCTTTTAGCTTCTATCATTACTGTTTAGTTTACGTTTGCCCTGTAATTTCTTCTGGAGTAGATATTTTAAAGAGTGGTATATCACTGCCTTAAATAAATTGTTAAAAATGGTGATGGACCTCAAGGTCCTTGCACTGGCAAAACAAACCACAAAAACCTGAGTTAAAAAGAAAGAAGCTTGTTAAGACTGCTACTAATGGTGAACTGTACCTCTGAGAAACTGTTAGCAAATTTCCCCTTTCCCTAGAGAAATGTGGTGTCATTTTCCCTCCAACGTTTCAGCCCGCCAATAGGATGGAGGATATCAAGAGGACATCTGCTAGGAGCTGTGTTTCTCCTTATATGTTTCAAATGGCAGACAGTCTGTGTGCAAAAAACCTTTGTTTTTCCAATTCACAGCCAACAAACTATAACCACAAGAAAGCAAGGCTCTGTGCATGAACAATGTGATTTGTTGAACCCAAACTGGAACCTACTTCCAAGAATCCTCCTCTTCTGTAGCCCTGGGCTCCACCAGTAGCCCTGGGTGTGCCCCTTTGAAGAAGGGCTAGCCTCCTAGATCTATGTAGGCCATCTAAACGGGTAGCTGTTCTAGCCCAGCACTGTGTCATAGGGGCAGGGACTAGATCAGGTTCATCTTCCCTTGTTCCCCTTCTTCTCTGCTTCCACGGTCTGCCTGAACATCTGGAGAGAGCAACTCTGAGATCACCTCACTATCCTCCACCATCTTGGATTCCACACTCCATTTTCCAGCCATCACAGTCCTCATCCAAAGACCCTGGAAACTGTGTCAAGAATAACTGCCTCTTTCATTCCCCGACAACACCTGAGCGCACCTGGATCTCCTTACAGTTGCTATTCTTGTCAGTGTGGCTAGCACAGAACTCCTACTTAAGTCCCACCAAAATGAACTGAGCTGTGAAGCCATAGCTATTTTAATTGCCCCCATCATAGGAATTACTCTTTTTCCATTGAGTGGAACTATTCTTTGGAACTCTTTTAAAATTAAAAATGGTTTTATAATTATAAATAAAAGCCATCTTGGTGCCAGAATATGGATGATTCTCAGGAATTATATCTGAGAGTATATTTCTAGTGTTAATTTCACTGAGGCTGATAATATTTAAAGTTCAGCCCAGGCAGATCACATATGCAGATATTTGTATCTGCATAGAAATGTAGCTCTGGGACTGTTCATGGAAAGTATTGTTCCCATATGTTCAACAAACAAGATAATGTGCAGTATTTTTTCCTTTACAGATATGACAGAGTGCAACCTTTTTTGCTGGACTTGCATTATGTGTTAAGACTATTTTGAATATGTTGTTGTTGTTGTTGTTGTTGTTGAAAATAGCTCCACTTGCATGGGATTTTAACATAAGGAACATGATCCAGTTTAATTAGTTTTGCCAATTCACTTGGTGGGATATGGCTTGCACCCAAGAAGAGCCTGATCTGATACAGAAAGTCATAATATGTAAAGAACACTGAACTCTATATTGCTAGTTGGAACAATAGGTTATAATTTTTCATAAACAGAGAACATTCCAGAGGTTTCTGTGGGACAAGAAATAATTTTATTCTTTGGATCTCTTCTCTTTCCCACTCACTCAAAAGTATCCAGGGTTAATATCTTTACACCAACTCCATGGGAAAATTTATGCTAAGTGATGACAATGTATCACTCTGGCCACCAACATAGGAAGGTGCGTAATAATGGGTTACATTATTCATCCTTCTGGCATGGTATTGACTGAGTTCAGACAATATAATAACCCACACTCAAGGACTCACCACCAGTGGTTATCACTGAAACAGACTATCATGTGATCTCAGCCCAGCTGAAATTACAAACAATGATGGAGAACTCAACCCAGAAACAGACTTTGCATTCTCTTCATGGTTTGTTTGAGGTGAACAAGCCATGGCTTGTAAGTGCAGCTGGGTTTGGACAATACAATAACCCACATTTCAGCATCAACCCATGGTTCAATAACAGCCCATACTCAAACCTTCGGTGTGGGATATTTTCTTGTATAAATCCAGTAATTGACTCCTCTGATGGGCAGAAACTCTCCATGGTTGTAGGCAGATGTCTTTGACATTCAAAATCCAGTTGAATAAGCACTTAGCCATCAGATATACATGCTAAGGCAGAATCTAATTCATTGCAGATACAATACAGTTAACTGCTTGACTTCATTAATCCCATATACTACACCTTAATCACCTGTAGAAAAAGCACATGCTAGAGCAGAGACTTGAAGATAGCCCTGTCATATTGACTCTGAATTCAACACTTTCTCTTACAAAGAATATTGGTGTTTATTTTATTGGTAAAGTAAAATCACCAATAAGATTGGTCTGTGAAATGTGTGGGATATGGAACAGTATTTATTTCTCTAGACAACAAGTCTAGATAGAAGCATCTCACAGGAAATTAAGCATTATTGATGTTCAAACATTAGCATCTCCTTGACATCATTAACAGCTATAAAGTGTAAGTGTATATTTCATTAAGTATATAAAGGATGAGGCTATTGAAGAACAGCTTAGGGATAAAGGGCCAGGGGAGAATTACAATTCACTGCTTTCTCCAAGATATCCCATCATAATTTTGAGATTAGTTTACAAAAGGATTCTTGACATTTTAGCCAACGGTCAATATTTAGGAAAGATTCACCTCTTTGTTCTAACTATTGTGCCTACTGACTAAGCTACTGAGTAGGCAAAAGTCTGATGCAGAATTGGCAATCCTGTATGCTGACTGGATTCTCCTTTGTATGGGATGCAGATGGAAAATTTACAGCCCCATCAACACTCTTGGGCCATTTATATCACATAATGCCTTAAACTGCAAAGCACATGAAAGGACATGATTTTTTTTCTTCTCACTATCAGTGACAATTATGATGTGCACACCTGGAATTAACTGGAATAGCATGATTCAGTGTCCATAATTTCTACTGGCCTGGTTTGTGCTTGGGAACAATCTTTACTACATTTCTCAGAAGCTCTGCTACTCCTAATTTGGGCTTAGATCAAAATGGGTGCATGTTCTCCGGAATGATGGATTATAAACACCATGAGCCTGATCTTCCACATCCCACCAATGTGCTGTTATTATAAGCTGATTATTAGACAGTCAGACTTGGACTGGATGGCCAAATTCAAAATTATCTGCCAGATGCTTGCTAAGCTATGATGCAAGTGTTTTGCAAAAAGGAATGTCAGTGATGCTGCGAAGATGAAGAAATATTTATATGGTTAGTCTTTGAGGAGCCGAGTATCAGTATGGCTTACTTCTGGGTATGAAATATGTAATCCAGCCACATTTAAACGAGGGTGTGTTTATTCTTTCTCTGGTTTGCTGTATGATCGTTATTACCTTGTGAGCCAGCATTATAGATCAACAACACGTATAAATGAACATAGGGTGCTAACAGCTTCTTTACCTCAGGTCTTGGGACACTGGACTGGCCAACCTCACATGTCTCTGGTCTGTAGGTACCTGTTTCTTAAGCTACGTTTTGGCTTTGCTTATTTGCCTTTCTGTTTTGTATAAACCCAATCACTGCAACACGATTTAAATTGCTTCTATTTGTATTAGTTATCACTTGTGCTATCTTAGAATGGTTTGTTTGATTGATTTTTGAAGAAGAAAGTGAGTAGAAAGGAAAGACAGATCTAAGCAATCCAAATGGGGAAAAGAACATATTTCCTGGAGACCCTCCACATAACTATCCCCATATGGCAGATATAAGGTATATCCTGTGATTCCAGAAAGTCGAAGGCATTCCTTTGCACGTGCATTTTTGGCATCATTTTTCATGATTGATAGTGTTACCTATGTCAATTTTGCAGTTTCCCCAAACTGCCATGGGGATTAAGGCTGCCACTTTCCTCACAAAACCTCGCACGCTGCACCAGCACATTCCACAGAATTCATGGAAGTGTAATGGCTTGAGGAAATGTTACAGAAATCTTTAATATTTAAACCTGAAGTCTTTTTATTAAGCATTGTGTCTGAAGATGTTGATAAACAAGCAATGTATTTGATTCTACATGTAATTACTGCAGCAAGGATTGTATTTGCCCGACATTGGAGGAGTGAAGAACCACCCACTGATGAACTGATTCTAAAAAAGATTCTGGACTGTGCTGAAATGAATAGGCTGACTTTGTCTCTGAAGGAGAAAGAGGATACATACTTCTATCAAACTTGGAACTCTTTTTATTATTGGCTAGAGAAATGGGACTATGCGTAGATTTGAATATGTCTGTGGATTGCTATAAAAAAATGGGGGGCTGACCCAGTAGGTCTGATGTCTTTGATGATGTTTTAGTTTCTTTTTTTAGTTTGTAGAAAATAATAATAATAAAACTTACTTGAAAAAAAAAGAATTCATGAAAGTGTATCCTTGCTCCCATTGGCCTAAAGGGGGCCCAGTGCCCTCTTTTACAAAGGAAAACCCTCTATTTGAAGGGTTTCCAGAGGAATGCTCTTTATTTTAAAGGTATCTTTTATCTGAAAGACTGCCCAACCCAAAGTAAAGAACCATCAGAAAGAAGAGCTGAGTCTTGAAATGGCTCATCAGCAGCTCCTGGGCACTAGGCTGAGCAAAGCACACAGGTTCTCTGGCCACAGTCTTCCACAGCACAGTAAGATTTCTACCACCATTTAGACTGCTCTTCACATTTAAATTAGTATATGTACATTTTATGCAAGTCTGTATCCTCTTTTTTGGTGACTCACAAATGGCCACCCTTTGGGATCCTGCAATTCAAAAACAGGATCCCAAAGGATCTAAACTACCACCGCTCCAACAGAGGTCAGTTCTGAAGGGTTGTGAGCATTGCTGGAAAGCAAGATGGTAAGTCCTTCTTTCTCTGAAGTAGAGCGGATCCAGGCATGGCCAGTCCTATGATGGGAGGCCCCTTGGACTCACAATGCGTGTCACCTTGAGTTCCTTGCAGGAAGAGCAGGATACAAAATAATTAGAAAACAGTGTCAGCAAGCCCAGCTGTTTTACAAAACACCTTCCTCCCTCATCCATCCCCTTCCAGAATAAACACTTACGACAGTACTATGACATTTTGCAGATGTTAGGTGCATAAGCAGTTCCGGGTGTGGTGATGAGTGTAGGGGAAGCTTGCCAGAAGGAGGGGAGGGGGCAAGGAAGACTGAAAGCCATTCCTTGAAGGGGCTGCAGAGGTCAGCGACAGTGGTGCTGAATGGATTTTCCCAACCATTTTGAGCTGAGATCTGCACTTCATAATCTGAATGCTTTTATCTGTTTCTGAAAATAGACAGGAATTTTTTCCACCGGCTGCTCCAATCTGACTGTAGAGATGTGAGGAAGGATTACACGGATAAATTCAGGTTTTGTCAAACAAGCGTGTCTTTTCCAAATCAAATGTTGGCTTGTAACCGCCCCTCACTGTCGTCCTCGGAAGAAAGACATGCCAGCTCGTGAGACAGGTGAAAGGCCAAATAACTCCAGGCCCTGACTCTCTTTTTTCTTCCTGGTAAATGGCTGGGATCAGCTATTTTTATCCCAAGGTTTAAGAGTCACCAAGGGCATTTATAAAAATAAAACCTCCAACATTGAACGTACGATACTAATTGTATACTTTCAGCAATGTTTTGCCTTCTTGCTAACATGCTCTTTGTTACATCAGCTGCAGTTTCACTGTCAAAACATGACAGACTCTGCTTTGGAATTATTTTTCCCATAAATTCTTTCATGGCACTTATTTCAGTTTACAGTTTTAAAGCATGATTCATCTTTTCACTTCCTTTTGAAAAACACGATCACGTGTCCTCTCATATAGAGGACAGTAGGCCTCTGTTGAAGACGTCCTCTGTTGGATGGATGGTGCTATCAGTTGCTGGTTTAAAGATAAGGAACAGTAAGAACTGCTGCCCATCAACAGTTAGTATCTGAATAGCAAACTGAGCAAGCCAGGCACAGGTCAACTGGCCGGCCTTTCACGTTGCAATGAGATGCATTGTATTTCTGCTGAAATCGTAGCCATTATTCCAAACTTTGCATCCATACATACGAATGAGCATATGTGACTGCTATTAACTGCTGTCCTCTTCTGTCCTCTTCTGGGGTGATGAATTTACTTTTTTGAGGAAATTCATAAATGGACACAGTCCCATTAAAATAGAAGGTACAACACCCTATCATGGGTTATGCTGAAGTGTGGAAAGCTTTTTAGGGTACCGTCCTACAGATTGTGCCATCAGTGCCCATAACTCCCCATCTTCAAGGCTTGTGAATCTCTACTTCCCTGCACCACCTACTTTTCACTTTTGCTAGATGGCCGTTTCTAGCTGAGATGCTCCAGATGAAGAATGAGGGAAGCTGGAGTGACCCCAGTCTTCCTCCCTCTCCCAAATGCCCCATCGCCTCCCTTCTAAGGTAGATTTTCCAAACTTGAAGAGTTCACTCTTTCCACACCAGCTGTAAGGAGTGGGGAGAAGGACTGCAATGCTGCTACCTCTGATGCTCTGACTTTGGAAATGGGCATTTAAATTATCCTGTTGCCTTCCAGATAATGTATAGAGGCTGTAGGATCACTCTCCCTGTTCGTTTGGAAGTGATACATTTGAGAAAACATGAGTGTCTCCCCAGAAAACACATACAGTTCTATGCTTAAATATTTCTTGCATGTAAAACGAAACCCTCAGTTCTCAGTTTGAGCTCATTGTTGTTGCTGTTTACATTAGGAGCAGACAAACGGTGCTTCCTTTGGGATTTGGTGCCAAACACTGTTAAGGGCAAACTCTTTCTGTGCTTCTCTGGCTGTCCAAGCAGTGTATTTGTTACATTTCCACTTTTCATTCCAATCCTTCAGTTACCAAAATTAGACAAGCTTACAGAGGAATTGCAAACTTCCTTGTGAGGGGCATGGCTCAGCTAAGCTCACTTTTACATAGATTTCTCTTATGGGAAAGGGCTGGAAGGGGAGGTGGCACCTCTGATTCGACATACCTGTGTGGGCTTGGGCGCATGTCTAAGGGCAGAGTTTTGACATTTGTCCAACAAAATAGCTCCTGGGGAGATGGGTCATTGGCACCTTTCAACAAGCTGGGAAGGTGTAAGCAAAAAAGAGAGCACTGGAAGAGGTGATTAGTCTATTCCAGGTAGACAAGAACCATCCAGTGGGAATGTCAGTGAACAGAAGATACTTGAAACATGGCAGGTAAAGCTGCTAGCTGTGGAAGCTGGGCCACTGTGATAAGCAAATTGGGTTTTTAAAGAAACAGGCATTTAGTTTTCAGGCCTCTGCACCCTGCTCTGAATTCAGGCCAAGTGGCATCGACAGGGTCCATTGCATCTCCCAAGGCACAAACACAACCCTCTCCTTTCCCACTTCCCACAAGAAAGCCAGGTATGGATGCTTCTGTAAACAGAATAAGGTGTGCATGACATTTGGAGGAGATGTGCCAGTGCAATTGGGCTGAAGCCCTGACGAGTTCATGTGAAGCCCTGAATCTCTGGGAAGCCATCTATCCCACTACCCTGACGTTCATGGGCACTTGCTGAAAGGTACCTGATTATGTGTGCTTTATCTGATTCCCCGGATTAGCAGGGCTTTTTGCCTACACATGTTTCATCTCCTACTGACCCCCCACATCCTTCTGCCTGAGGTTTTCTGTTGCTGAAACCAGATAAGCTCCTCTACCCTGTTCTTGTCTCTCTTTTTACAAACAGAGGTATCCTTAGAACTCAGGATCTTTTAAAGACAGCAAGAAATTACCGTATACATCAATTAGCACATGCCAGTTTGTGTGTGTGTGTGTGTTTGTCTGTGGGTCTGAGCACTGGATTTTTTCAAACTGAACACTGGCCCAAGGACATCACATCATCCAAACTATACAACTGCAGCTCTGCATTTTGAAAAAAGTCTACAGTGGCTGACTCCCTAACTAAAATGTGCAGCTTTTCCCAAAAGAACATCCAAATGTAAATATTTGGCTCCAGTTTAGGTTTGCTCACCACCCCTCTCAATGTCAATATTGTAAGCACAATGGACAGGGTCCCATGTGGGCATAGGTTGAATGCATACTTTGGATCCAAACAACACACTACTTTTAATACGTAGCAGCTTTGGCTGTTCTTTTTTCCTACTCAGAAGTAAGCACAGGGAACCTGAACTGGACTGAGACGTGTGTGTGTGTGTGTGTGTGTGTGTGTGAGAGAGAGAGAGAGAGAGAGATTGGCCCCTGTTGTGATACTGATTATAGATTGTAGTGTAGTTTGTAGTCTACACCTAAATGTTGCAGGGAAGCTGCTTTCTATAAGCAAACTGTGGCTCCAGGAGACATGATCTGGACTGGGACCAAGGCAGTGAAGTAGCGGAACCAGGGCTCACAGGGATGCAGTGCTGGCACTTTTTATTGGCAAGGATGCTGATGGCATCTGCCATACTCCTCCAAAAAATTCCCTGTCCCTGCTGAGTTTAGCTACAATCCTCTTATTAGCTAGGAAGAAACAAATCTTCCAAGAAGAATATTTTGTTCTGTTTGGTACTGCAAAGTCTTTTGCACCAGGTTGGTCTTGAATCAGCAGTTGAGATTCATTTGCTTTATGAAAGATCTTTTCCCTGATGAAGTAAAACCTTCCAGAATGAACTTGTTGACACGAAACAGCACAGCTGCCTGAATTTTTGAACCACCTTGGGAGCGTGGCAATGGTCACCGTCATGCAGAACGCTTGTACTTCACCATGTATCACTGGGCGGGGGGGGGAGTTAAACCCCCCCCCCACTTCCTTGATAGTAGACACAGATCAAGTCCTCCAAGTTCACCTCTGAGTAGGAAAAAGAGCAGTCACAGAAAATGCAATCCGCTGTTTGCCACTTAGTCACTAGGTGGCACTGGGTTTAGTTGTTTTGGGGAAGAATCTGGAGTTTTCTGTAGCTGTGCACTTCTTGTGGGAGAAACACAATGCAGTTCCTATCCAATGTTGTAACTGGCGTGTCCTCTAATTCTTGCATGACTATCAAATCTACTGGATCAGTAGCTGACAGAAAGGACATACATATAACAGGAGAGGT